ACTCTTGACAAAATAACAGAGCCATTAAAATAAAACCTTCGCTTTCCTGGGACAATCATTGTTGGTTAGCTGAAGCTGAAGAATCATCTGTGATTAAGAGCCCAGCATCATTGAAGCGAAGTCTTCTGAGTAGTTTTTCCTCGGTGTCAACACAGAAAAGCTGTGTTCTAGAAGTGGCCAAGGTTGTACCTTGTGCTGACAACCAAACTTGGTAGTATAAGAGTGACCCATTTGGGACTGGATTTGAAGACATAAGGGGGTCATGGAGAGCAGTTGATCCTTGACACTGTTGCTGTGGGATGGTCTGTATGTCAAATTGCTCTGATTGGTCAATAAATAAAACACTGGTTGGCCAGTGGCCAGGCAGGAAGTAGGTGGGACAAGGAGAGAGGAGAATTCTGGGAAGTAGAAGGCTGACGCAGGGAGACACTGCAGCCACCGCCATGACCAGCAGCATGTGAAGATGCCGGTAAGCCACCAGCCACGTGGCAAGGTATAGATTCTTGGAAATGGATTAATTTAAGCTATAAGAACAGTTAGCAAGAAGCCTGCCACGGCCATACAGTTTGTATGCAATATAAGTCTCTGTGTTTACTTGGTTAGGTCTGAGCAGCTGTGGGACTGGCAGGTGACAAAGATTTGTCCTGACTGTGGGCAAGGCAGAAAAACTCAAGCTACACACTGTGATGCAGGGTTGCAGTTGCTAAGAAACCTAGGAGATGTGAAAATGCAGTCTAATTGTATAAAGAGATCCCAGCATTTTGGAGATGCCATAACCATGGGATGATGACCAAGAACAGGAGCAATGCTGGAATGGAGCCAACCAGAGCCTCGAAGCAAAGCTGTGTGTGCTATAGAAGGCTGAGTCAGAGAAGTGACCTAGGCCCTTCAGGGGAGCCCCAAAGATTGTGAGTGCATCCACACTTTGGAAACTGAGAGATTTTGATGGTTGGAGTTTGGTTTTTTGCTTTGTTCAGATAGTGACTCTGCCCTAGTTCTTCCCTCTTGAAGTAAGAACATATTTAACTTCTTTTTTTTTGTAATAGGAGCCCAGAATTAAGAGATTTTAGATTTTTAAGAGACTGGATATTTTAAAGAGATTGAACATAAGTGTTTGAATTTTTAAAGATTTGAAGAGCTTTTAAAATTTGAAATCTTTATATTTTAAGTTTGATATTAATATATGATCTTACAGATGAACATAAAAGGGAAGGGTATAGCTTAACAGTGATGTGTTTATGTGCCGAGTTAACAAGGAATTAATTGTGCTGGCTAGCTATACATCAACTTGACACAAGCTAGAGTCATCTGAAAGAATGGAATCTCAATTGAGAAAATGCCTCATAAGATCTGGCTGTAGAGGATTTTATTAATTAGTGATTGATGCCCAGGCCATTGTAGGTGATGCCATCCCTGGGTTGGTAGTCCTTGGTTCTGTAAGAAAGCAGACTGAACAAGCTATGAGGAGCAAGCCAGAAAGCTGCTCCCCTCCATGGCCTCTGCATCAGCTCCTGCCTCCGGGTTCCTGCTCTGTTGGAGTTTCTGTCTTGACTTCCTTCAGCGATAGTCTAGGTTGTGAAAGAATAAGACAAAAACTTGGTCTTCATCGCAGTGTTTCATCAGAGCAATCATAGCCCAAAATAGGACACATAGGAAGAAAACATGAAAATGTTCAGCACAGTCCTTATTTCCTTTATTCTCAACACTCAAGGATGGACTTACTGGACCCTCAACATAAAACCTGAGTGTTTTGAAAGAAATCTAAGTATGTTATTTTTTAACCAGATTTGCACTACTCTGCAGTGGAATACCTAATCAAGACAGAGAATCTGACCCAGCCACTCTGCACTCTTCTCTGTTGACTAAAGTCACTGAGATGGCCAGGATCCCTTCTCTGTCCTGGTCTATACTTTGTGGTTGATTTTTTTAATCCTAGATTTGATGGATTAAAAAAAAAAAAAACAGTGGGAAAAACTTGTCTTCTGAAATGATTCAACAGAAACTAGAAATAAAATAATGTACACTTCCATAGGAGAGAATTTGGCAGTTTCAAGATATATACAGCTTACCAAAAACTTCATTAAAGATAGAATTTTTAAATTATGGATGAGAATTTAGCTCAGTAGTACAGCGTTTTCCTAGTGTATATAAAATCCTGGGTTATGCTTCCAGCATCAAACAAAACTGCTAAGAATTTGCCCCTTATCATTTACTCTACAATTAAAAAAATATTCTCCCTCCCTCCAAATCTGAGAGTAATACACTATTTAAATTTTGCTACCTAGGCAATACTGATATATTTCTGTAGATGTTTATTTCAAGTAGACACATTTTAACCCATATAACCTTATTTGCTGTTTAATTTTACTTAAAATGTTAGATATTCTTTGAGTACTTAGTTTAGACTTGGCTACATGACTATTTCACACTATAAAGCTGGTTGTCACTTCCTATGGAAAATAAATCAATATTGATCAGTTATTCTAATTATGTGTTTCTAAGACCTATGTGTAGGTTTCAGTGGCCATAAGTGGCTGAGGCTGGAGTTACTGATTTTTGTAAATTTACAATAGCTCTCCAATAATAATAAATACTAACCTGACATTAGAAACTAATAAATATTTAAAGTTAAACATTACATCACAATACTTTAAAGACCTTGATACAAGATTGCATTTACAAGCAGAGCACACAAGAGAAAAACATTCCTCTTCTTCCCTCTGGAAAAATAACCAACACAGAGGGTAGTACTTGAATATTAACATACAAACCAATAGTAATTAACAAGTAGTATGGACTCAAATGATCTACTTGCCTCACTCATTTCTCTTTCATACACTTGTATAATGTCAACCTTGTAGCTATAAAGGAACAAAAGACAGTCATATTTGCAAGACTCTGGGAAATGGCAGGGCCTCTACATTGTACAGAGAGGAAAGTCTCACAATTCAGGGACAGGAAGCTATGATTTACATAATGAATATGGCAAAGAGACCTATAAAGAAACAAGACTTCTATGGCAGAAAAATTACACTGGCTTTAGTCCAAGATACCAGGCACATCCCTGGAAAATCTGATGTGCCAGAATCTAACAGTATGTACTGTTCCCAGAGCCAGAATCTGTGCAGTATTTGGCTTTCTACTTGTGTTTGGAACATGGGACTATTTTTCTCACATCCTACCAGGGTTCCATTTATGTTTAGCACCTGCATGCAACCCAGGAGCTTGAGAACAAGATTTTATATAGGAAAGTGAAATGCTTGACAATATCATTATTTTGCAACTTAAAGGTATTCATTTTCATAATCTCTATATTCTACCATCTAGCAATCAGGAGGATCAAAGTGTTAGACTCACTCAATTGTAGTAGCTCCATTTTAAAATTACTTCCTACAAATTCTGTCATTGTATAAAGGAATAAATTGTTCGTCAGAGAAATATACAAGGATAAAATTAGATGAACAAACCAAAGCCAGGCCATGCTGTATAAGCAGGGTTAGGAGTCCTGCTCTGAATAACACATGTTAGCTCTGTGATTTACTAACTGTGTAGAGTTCCCTAAATCATATAGTTGATTAAATATCAGAAGCCTCATCTTAAAAAGGAATACAAATACAGATTGAATTTTAGCCTTATGCATTCCTTTCCTTTTTCCCCCCCATTTTTTTAAGACAGGGTATCACTGTGCATCTCTGCTATCCTAGAACTCACTCTGTAGATTAAGTTAGCCTCAAACTCATAGAGATCTACCTGCCTCTGCCTCGTGAGTGCTGGGGTTAAAGGCATACACTACCACCACCTGGAACCTTTCATTTTCTTTAATACTATACATTCCTGGAAGGGAGTTCTAGATTTGCAGAATAGAAAAGTATTATAGGCTAAATAGTGCCCCCTCAAAATCCACGTGTGAAAATTCCTTACTACCTCAAAATGTGACTGCATTTGGACTAAGTTCTTTAAAGAGACCAGTAAGTTACAGTTAGAGTATTGCCATGGGACTCAGTTCAATATAACTCATAATACTAATGATAAAATAATATTAATAACAGTAATAGTAATTTTCTGGGTATGGTGGCACATACCTTTAATCCCAGTATTCAAGAAGCAGAGGCAGGCAGATCTCTGTGAGATCAAGGTCAGCCTGGTCTACAAAGTTCCAGAACAGCAAAAACTGTTACACAGAGAAACACTGTCTCAAAAAAACAAAAGTAATAATAATAATCATCATCTGAAAGTCATCAGGGATGACCCAGTTGAAGAAAACACAATGTGAGAACACATAGAAAATCTCCCTCTGCATGTAAAGGACAGATGAACCTATGGGTACTTTGATCATGAACTTTCACTCTCCAGAACTGACAAATTTCTATAGTTCAAGCCATGGTGTATGGTGTATTATGATATTCCTGGAAAATTAAAACAGGATATAAATGTTTAAACTAGCTACAGAGGTATAATATTCTTCTAAGCTTCTCTGTTTAAAGTTATTTGGTAGGGGGGTTTCCTAGAATAAAGATTACTTTTACTTGAATTGTGTTCCTGGTAATCTCAAGGTATGTAATTTTAAGTAAGATGCTACTTTTGAACCTCAATTTTCTCATTTTAAAAATTGACATATGTCCGTTTAAAATGAATAAGTGTCTTTGTTTAGCTGTTGTTAGTCTTAAATATGATAAAGTATGTAATACATCTGTTATTGCCAGATAGTAACGAACGATGATCTTGGCTACATTATTTATGCATTTAAAGATTTTTAAAGGTTTTGTCCTTCTACCCATGAGCATGCCTGTTCAATAAACAGTTATGTTGTGGACAAAGCTTGGGTCCAAAGAAGCAATTTGGTCTGTGAAGTTATGACAAGGCAGCCTGTTCCATGTCCCTGTTTATACTTCCTCACTGAGGTTGCAATGGGTAGAGTTTTCTTATTTGAGATTTGTCTTCAATGCTTTTTCTACTCCAGTGTAAAACATTGTAACCAAGGCAATTCATAGAAGGGATGGTTTATTTGGGGCTTGTCGTTCCACAGAGCTGAGTCCATCACCACCATAGCAGCATTGCAGAAAGCACTAGGCCTCGAGGAAAAACAGATGAAAGTTCTCATCTTGAACCCTGAGCAGGAACAGAGAAAAAACTCAAAATGGCAAGTCTTTAAGCTCTCTAAGCCCACCTCCTGTGACATTCTTATCTCTCATGGGCACAACTCCCGAACCTATACACACAGAGCCAACAATTGTGGACCAAGAATTCAAATGCCAGAGAATATGGGGACAATTCACTCCAACTACTATAATATCTACAGTTCACAATTTACTGTAGAAAATGTGTCCAATGGAGAAATTTAGATGCAAATAAAGTTAGACACAAGAGAAGTCTTTGTTCTAGCTTGACAAATTTTTTGACATTTTTGAAACATACTTGAGGCATATGATTTTTTATGTATATTTTATGATGGTATTTGTGTAAATGTTTTAGATTTGTGGTGGTATTTATGTGGGTGTGAATGTGTTTGTGAGTGCTTGTGGAAGCTAGAGGTTGATTGCAGATGTCTTCCTCGGGCATTCTCCACCTTCGTTTTTTGAGACAGGGTCTCTAACTGAACCTAGAGCTCACTTTTCCAGCTAGTTTACCCGACAAGTAAGCCCTGGATTCTGTGTCCCTTCTTCCCCCAGGACTAGGGTGGCAGCAACCTTCCATGCCATGCATTTCCATGGACATCAAGATCAAAACTCAGATCTTGCACTATGTGGTAACACTTTACCCACCTCCCAGCCCAGCATATGATTTTTAATAAATTACTTTTTTCAGTTATTTCTCAGTCCCAGACATTGTTCTAAATGTATTTTGTATATTATGTTATCTAATCCTCATCATAAGTTTATTAAATATATATGATTTATACATACGAAAACTGAGTTACAAAAAGATTCAATAACCTACTCAAGCCTAAACGACTAGATACAGAGTTGGGATTTAAAACTTGGTGTTCTTAAACCAGAGTGCATGCTTTTATCTACTCTATTTACTACTTCACAAAACTTTATTGGGCAAATATAAACATTTTATTCACTTTCAAACACATTTAATACAAAGTGTTTTTTTAAAAGATAATACTATACTGGTCTTTATTGTGGGAAATTAATGTGTTCATTTGTTTGAGCATTAAATAAATACAAATGCATTATATTGTGCAATTAAAAGCAAATTCTCTGCCCTTGGGCTCATATCCCAAATATATGCCTTAACAATTTCAATTGGCTGTGTGACTGGGGACCATTTTCAAGGCAGTGTGACCGTGGGCACTGAGATAAGAAACTCAGTTCACATGCCAAGAACATGATTATTTAGTTTTCCTAGGGCACACAGGGTACATCTGAAATACTAGAAAACATTATTCAAGGGTAACACTGGGATTAGCTTGGAAAGTTCCCTGATTCTGAAAACTAATGACTCAAGTATGACTTTGTTTATAGAAGTATTTCTTTTTATTCTATGTGTACGAGTGTTCTCCTGCATATCATATATGTGCCTGGTGCCTATGGAGACCAGGGGAGGATATCAGACTCTCTGGATCTAGAGAAATAGATGAACCACTATATGATATTGAGAACCAAACCTGGGTCCTCTGGGTGAAAAAAGTACTCTTAACCACTGAGCCATTTCTCCAGCCCCGAATATGTCTCTTTTTTATGAGCATTAAAATAAGTTGCTGGGCAGGATATTCAGTTAGTATATGATCTAGGTGGAAACTGTGGGGGAATGGAGCAGGAGTCAGTATACGTAAGCAGAACCTTTATTGTGTTTCCAAATGTAGCCAGTAAGGACTGTGATAGATCTGTAGGAACGGCCGTGCAAAAATAGGAAATGAGACTTCGGCAAAAGAATAATCAGATACTGTCATTCATTTAGTGAAGAGGAAAGTAAAGATAAAATTAAAAGATTAAGGTTCTTTGATTCTTCCAAGTACTATCAAGAGTAAAGGATAAGACATGATCCTGGTTTAAAGAAAGAGAATAATTTGCATTTATAAAATACTGTAGCAGGCAGGTGAAATGCCTCAGCAGGTGAAGGGGCCGAAAACGAGCTTGAAGACCTTACTTTGGTACCAAGACTCACATGGTAGAGGAAGAGAACTGACTGCTATAGTCCACCCTCGTGTATACTATGGCATGGCCCTCTACCCCCAAACAAAGCCCCAAAAACAACCTTTAAAAGGTCATAAAATGTTATAGTTTATTTTCCATTCATACAGTATATTTCAGCTCTGTCTAGTTGGGAAAAACAGACAGTTCCTATAAATGATTTAAAATAGTAGACACCATAGAGAAATACCTTGGAATTATACACATGTAAATTGAACACTATTTGAATTTAAGTGAGCCAAGTCAACACAGAAGGAGATTGTCCCTCCAGGCAAACCGCTTGCTGTTGACACAAACTGATGCCTGACGGGATTAAATGGGAAAATGGAGCAGAAGGAACATTAAAATGTAAACAATGTCCAAGCCTTGTTGCTTGTGCCTTTCACTAGATGTTTTACAAAGTGGGAGTTAATGCTGGCCATTTTCAGAGTTTTTTTGTTTTGTTTTAAGAGCTACTGGAATTTAACTGTTTCTAGAAGCACACTACTGTGAGACCAACCTCTCAAGGTTTTTATTTGTGAAGATAATGAAATTCAGCTGATTTGGGAATTGTTCTTCAAATTAGAAATGGTGTTCTAATACCAACATCAAATCTGTGAGCTTTTATTTGCTTTTAGGAATTTGAGAAACGTGAGACTTAGGTAGTCATTAAAGACGGTTTGCGAGGTCCCTGGCAGATGGGCCGGGGGACCCTGGTTTTGGCTGTTCTGCTTTATTGGGTTGGTACACAGCTACAGAACTTGGCACACTCTCTGGTGTTTCCACACACAGCACTATTCGCTTTTCCAGTGAGCATTCTGCCGTGAGCAGAGCGGTAAGTCAGGGCTTGAGAAAGCTAATGTACAGCCCTGAGCCCCAAAGCATTACAGTCACCCTAAAAGGACCAAGGAGATGCCATAACAGGCTGCTCAGTCTTCTCTCAGAGATCAGGCCTCAATTTCAGTTTCCTGAGACTGAGCAAGCAGTCTCTGGGAGGGCCGTGAACAAAGTCCTTGCAGTAGCTCCCTTTCTGCATGTACTCTGACTGCTCAAAGTTCAGCCAGATGTTTATTGTCTGGGACCCCTCACCAACTTAGAGTTATGTGCATGAGTCAAGGACAGAGCCTAGACCACTGAGCCAGCACCCACAGTCAGTACACGCTAGGCCAGCCAGCCCCCATGGCAGCTCAAGGACAAAGTCTGGGACTTGTGCTGGACTGCCCCCAAAGTGATAATTGTAATCACCAACCAGTAAATTCAAAGGTTACATACCCTCACCCAATTAAAAGAGAACAGAGATAAAAATAAACCAATCCAAGCTGTACCCGTGCAAAACCTCCAACCCCCTCCCCAACCCCCCTGAAGGGCTTGTGGTTTTTTTGTCTTTAAATAGCTAGCCTCACAAAGAAAGAGCAACTCCTCCCTGCCTCACTGTATTGGGTGTAGGAATGAGTTCCCTGTCTAGACTTGTATCTACAGAATAAACCTTGCTGTTGCATTCTGGACATCTAGGTCTTCAGTGGTCTCTTTGGGGTCACAATCTGGGCATAACAGCCCATGTTGAAAAACAGGCATCAGGTCAGAGTATTTACATGCGTTGTGTGTTGGGTTGGGGCTGGGAGGACAAGAAAAGGTCCTGCTGTTTTTGAAAAGGAGTCAGAACTCTTTCCTGGAACTCACTTGAGTTCCTCCTGATCTTTCTGCTTCTATCTCTCAAGTGCTGGGATTGCAGGTGTGCCCTGACGGTCAGTTCTATGTAGTCCTGGAGGTCAAACCCAGAGGGCCTTTGTGCATGTGCTAGGCAAGCAACCTACCAAATGAGCTAGAGCCCCAGCCGGGACTGTGGGTTTTAATTACAGAGAGCATCAAAAACAAGAAAAATAAATTGAAACAGGTTTCTAATTTCCCATGGGTGGGTGGGCGGGGATGGCACAGAATTTGATAAAGCCATTCAAGTGTACCTTTGAAAGCACAGTTAAAAGCACAGAAGAATGATGGTAGTTGTTACGTTTTGGTACCTCAGTCTAGCCGAGCTCATAATTAATCAGAGCTAAGGCCAATGTGTTTATAATGTTCCAATAATATGAACTAACACTCAGTTTGTATGAGAAACTATATTCACTCATTTACTTATTCTTTCCCTAAACATGTAACTTTGTATTTCCAGGTAAAAGCAGACCGTACAGCAAAGTCATAGGCTTGAGAAATTAGAGTCTGGCTGCTTTCTAGTTTCTGTGGATTTGGGCTAGCTGCTTAGTCTTCCAAGCCCAATATATAGATATTGTAAAATATAGATAATGCAATATCCCATCAACTTATTATTAAGTGAATAAGATAAGCACTCTATGAAGTAACTGAAGCTATCCCTATGGCATGCCCTTGAGAAATGCTGGCTCATTACTAGTGGTTATGTTCATTTCACTCCACTTATTAAATCAGTGTTATCTTTAAGACAATAAGTCCATACTGTGTGATTCTGTATATCACTACAAACATCACTCTCTGGTTTATGTTTCAAAGATATCCACACACATATAATGTGTTGTTGACATATCCCACTCTTCTATTAAATTACCAGTGTATGGAATTTATGAGAAAACTTAGCCCAAAGCATCTATGTCACTAAATTATACTTTGAAATTTGAAAACAGAAACATGAGAAACAAAGCAAAACAAATGTCTTTGTCTACACAGTGCTCCTTAGGAAACCTGAGTGTGCTGGATAGTTCTGTGTCAACAAGACACAAGCTGAAGTCATCTGAGAGGAAGGAGTCTTAAATAAGAAAATGCCTCCACAGGATGGGGCTGTAGGCAAGCCTGTAGGGCACTTTGTGATGGAGGAGGGCAGGCTCAGCCTATTGTAGGTGGTTCCATCCCTAGATTGGTGGTCCTGAGTTCTTTAAAAAAGCAGGCTGAGCAAGCCATGGGAAGCAACCAGTAAGCAGGACCGAGGGGACCATGGTGTCTGCATCAGCCCCTGGCTCCAGGTTCCTGTCCTGCCTGAGTTCCTGTCCTGATTACCTCTGATGAACTGCAATGTGGAATGCAAGCTGAAAAGACCAGGTGGCTTTACTCACAGTGTTTCATCCCAGCAATAGTAACCCGAAGACACTGAGGACAAACTGAGCAGGAGAGATCTGGGTTGATGGAGACACTCACCCATATCGTGATCACCGTGGAGCTTACTCAGAACTGCCCATGGTTTAAAATTCTCATAGCTTCACCAAGAAGAAAATCTGATTCTGTTATGTGATGTTTAAAGAATCTGCTTAATATTTTAGCTGTAAAAAGAGTAACAGACCCAGCAATGATGTTTCATCCAGGTGGCAGGACTTGTGGCCTTAAGTGCTGAAAAGGACTAATGATCCACATATAATTAAAAAAAAAATCATAAAAATTAAATAATGTTTTTGTTTAAGTAATGTTTTTTCCAAAATTAGCATTCCCATCCTTCTGACATATTTGTATATCAAAACCACGTGTAAGAACACATACATGGATATATTTTATGCTTTCATTCATCATCCCATTGACTTGGCAAAGTGAGAATCTACATGTCTGCAACGTCCATTCTGTTTCCACTGAGAACAGAAGGAATCCAGTGGTCTGATTTGAAAAACCAAGATCGACTCACAAGACAGTAGACAGCTGAGTGCCCTGTGTGTAACTCTTGCCCATTTCGATTCCAGCAGTGTGGAAGACATGGAGATTGTGAGAGCGGAAGCTCTCCTCACAATCAGAAGACCAGGGCTCAGACCCTGGGTCTTTCTACTGTTCTCGCTTTCTCCCACGACCTGATTCACTGACTTGACCACCAGCGGGGTCTTTCAAAACTTCAATTTTAGACTGCCATATACTCTTCAAGGGTTTTCAGATATGTCTCAGTAGTATGGAATGTAAAAGCGTAGGCACTCAAGGTAATGTCATATATACTTCAACCTCAAGTCTCTGACCCTCCACATGAGGAATTCAGAGAGTGGAAATTAGTGTAGGCTCCACAGAGCTGGATTTTAGCTTGCCTTTTTTTATAACCTGCTTTTTCCCTTGCTTGAATTATTCTTTCCCCCCTTCTCAAAGTCACACTTAGTCCTCTTTCAAACACAATTTTAGGTGTGACCTCCACAGGAAATTTTCTTGTTGATTTTTTTGACTTAATTCAAATTCCCTTTATTTAATCATTAATTCAACAAATATTTTAACACCAACTGTTTTAGTTAAGGTTTCTTTTGCTGTGAAGAGACAGCATGATCACAGCAACTCTTACAAAGGAAAACATTCAATTGGGGTGTCTTAGAGTTCAGAGGTTTAGTCCATTATCATCTCAGTGGGACATGGAGGAATGTAGCCAGACAGGGTGCTTTAGAAGCTGAGAGTTCCACATTCTTGATCTGCAGGCAACAGAAAGAAATCTGGCTACTACACTGAGCCTAGTTTGAACAAAAAAGACCTCAAGGCTCACCCCCACCGTGATTCACTTACCCTGACAAGGCCACACCTACTCCAACAAAGCCACACCTCCTAATAGTGTCACTCTCTTTGGAGACTATTTCGTTCCAAACCCCCACACCAACCATGTGCCAACTTATTCTATACTCTGGAAATAAAATCACGCTCATATTAATTAAAAATCCTTCCTAGAGGCTACTTAACCCTCTTGGAGAGTGAGGGAGAATGAGTAAAACATGTAAGGCAAGGTAGAATACAGAGTTTGGCAGAAAAAATGGACCATTTAGGTGTTCAGGATGCCCTGACAAGTGAGGCCAAGCAAGACAACAGCATGAGGATAGAAAAGCAGCAACCCTAACACAGGAAGTGGAGACACAAAACTGGTAAATATTCAGAAGGGTGCTGCAGAAAGGCACAAAGTAAGCCCCCAAAGCCTGAAGGGGATGCACTTAGTCTGGATTGTGATGGGTAGGGTCGCTTGTTTTATAGTGCTTATGTGGACTCTAGCATTTACTAGGGACTGGTTACAGTAAAAAGAGAATCTGCTTAAATGCCTTACTCTGTTTCTAGCTTAAGAATAGATCGGGCTAAAGGCGTGGCAGGGGGTGGCAGATCAGTTAATTGTGAGACCAAAATGAGAACAAAATGCCTCCGTCTTAGAAATAAGGCCTAAGCTGCCTCCATCTTAGAAATAAGGCCTAAGATGTATGGCCCTGGCCCCCCATTTTGAGTAACTGTGGCCTTGCTTGCCAACCTTGACCAGATGTCATCCCTATGCTGATTCCTGCCGATTTCCTTCTTCCTAAACGCTCACAGGAGGTCCTTTGTTCTGCATTTGTCTTTGTATTCTGCATTTGGTGTAAACAGCTTAGATTCAAGAATGTAGAACATTGATTGGGTAGCGGACTTCTGCCCTCCGGGGATCCTCCATTGTGCTGTAAGCCTGTATATAAGGTTTCTTCCCTCTTTCAATAAACAGCATTCGGCATTCTGCTGGGGTGAATGACTTGCTGTCTCTTGTCTCTTATTTTTTAATCCACAGCCCCTTGCTCAGACATGGTGAACAGGTGCTGCGAGCATTACCATAACACTAAAGCTTTCTCCATTTTAGGTATAGGTCTTGAGTTACTGGAACAGGCCTTGAGTTACTGGAACTAGTCAACCTAGATTCCAGAAATTAGAAAGTGCAAAGTACAGAGTCACAAGGTATTCATTCAGTGATGACTGTTTAACCAAGGAATGTTCCAACCCTGGTTTCCAGGGTAGCTGACCACAGATATGTCCCCACTTGAGGGCAGCCATGAGAAATGGTGATGGGCAACTACCCCCTTAGAAGTAAGAGTAAGCCATGATTTCTAGAAAGTCCCTAGAAGTGAGCCAATCAGAATCGCACCCGTACTAGCACCCCTAACTGATGTAACCTTGTGGTTTTTGCCTTTAAAAGCTGAGCTTGCAGAGGGGCAGACACTTCCTCCAGCCTCCACTGCCTTGGATCTGTTGGACAAAGTCCCTGCCTAGGCTTGTATTGCTTTTGGATATCCCTAATTAAACCTTGCTTTCGCATTCTGGCACACTCATCTTCGGTGGTCTCTCTGGGGGGTCGCAATCTGGGCACAACATTAATAAAATCCACAATGTCTTAGAGAAGAGACAATAGGGTTCCTAATTATCTCTTTTGCAAGGTTATTGGAAGTCCAGCCCATTGACTTCCTGCTCTTGTACATTTGCCTTAATAAACCATGCTCCTCTTGAAAGGAGAGGCCAGCAGCCTTTTAGTGTATGGTATCCACATTTTTTATTTTTTTTATTTATTTTATTTTTTTTTTTTTTGAGACAGAGCTTCTCTGTGTAGTTTTGGTGCCTGTCCTGGATCTTGCTCTGTATCCCAAGCTGGCCTCGAACTCACAGAGATCCTCCTGCCTCTGCCTCCTGAGTGCTGGGATTAAAAGCGGTGCGCTACCACTGCCGCTGACTGGTATCCACATTTTACAAAACAGCACACTGAGCCACATGTGGTGGTGGTAAGCACACTCCTGTAATCCCAGCACTTGAGAGATATTATGATGCAGTAGAATCTGGAATTTAAGAGTAACATTGGTACATAGCAAGTTCAAGTTAGCATGGGCAACTTGAGATATATATATATATATATATTCTATCTCTACATGTGTGTCACACACACACACACACACACACACACACACACACACAGAGTTCTCAATAAAAGTTTACTAATACAAACTTTTATAGAAAACTGAACCCCAAAGGAGTCCAAATGTCTTACACATTTAAACAGAAACATCTGCATAAAAACCAACCTGAGTGAATTCAGAAGAATGAGAAGGATCCTGTAGTTTGGGGATGTTGTTCCTTGAGCTGTCTAGTAAAACTGTGAAAAGGGAAATGAATCTGTGAGCTAGTCCTGCAAATGATGACTGAAGACTTTGATCAGGGCACGCAGTGAAAGTCCTAAGTCTGATCAGACACGAAACGTCTGAAGCAGCATTAACAAACCAACCTCCACTTTACAGGACTAAGGTGAAATCAGAGAAGAGTCTAAGTGAAGTAACTACATCAGCTCAAGCTTTGGCAAAAAGCTTGAAAATGGAGCTGATTCTATGAAATCAGGGTTGGTTTTAATGGCCTCAACTCTTACTGGGCCACAGAAAAAGCATCGCTACAAGGATGGGTTATTTTTGTTTTACTTTGGTTTTGTTGTTGCTTTTATTTACTATTTATTTTACGGACATGGTCCCCATAGCGCAGGCTGGTCTCCAGCTTCCTATGTGGCAGAGGATAACCTTAAGCCCCTGATCTCTCTGCTTCCCTGCCCCAGGGCTGAGATTACAGGCATGTGCCACAGTGCAAGTACATGTAATAGTTTGACATAGCTGATCTGACCCTTTCTCCAAGCGTAGAGACCGAAACAACACAAATGTGTACCTTACTTCTGAAGCCAGAAGTCTGACACAGATCTCTGTGCAGTCATGGTGTTGGCAGGCTGCTTTTCCTCCTGGAGGTTCAAGGAAACAGTCATCCCCTTGTCTTTTCCAGCTCCAGGGACTGGCTGTTTTCCTTGGCTCTTTCAACATACGAGCCAACAAAGGCAGGTTGAGTACTTCTCACACTGACCTCCACGTCTCTCTTGCTCGTCCACTTTAACGACCCTTTATTTCTGTTAGCCATATCCAAGATATTCAGGAAAATAACCCTGTCATAACGCCATATTATGAGCCGCATTACTGCCCTTTTATGGTCTGTAAAGTAGCATACTTACATGCCACAGAAATGGGGACATAGACACATGAAGGAAGAACATTATATACTTATCTCTGTTTTTATAAGCATATCATTAAAAAGACAATTAGATAAACTCTTGGTATTCACTGAAGAACAAATAACAAAAATGAAATAAAACCAAGATGAAATTTCAATATCAAACTTTATTAAAATTAATATTTCAAAAGAGTGTACAAACAAGCAAATATCTAGGCTGTTTGTTCAACCTCCATATTTTTGTGGATAATATTTAGTAATGTTTCTAAAACTTTACTAGTTTTTTATATCATTTTTGAAGAACTTACCTTAATTAAAATGATCTAAACTAAATACATATGCACACAAAGCAGAGAGAGAAACTGGTGAATGAGTTTTTAATCATACGCATAAGTATAAAATTTTTTTTAACCTCCTAGTCACAAAATTGATACTTTATGCTAAAGAGGATACAAATGATTGCTTGCCTAGCATCGTGATGTCAATTTAAGCATCCTTTCTTTAAAAACAATACAAAATAGAAGATTTTCAAATCTCTACATAATTTTACTCTAAAATTCTGCTTCTACAAAAATAGAAACATAGAAAACAAGCATAGATCAAGAAGAATTACAACATACAATGGACTCACATACTTTCATTAAAATTAACTTTTAGTATAATAAGGTAATAAACAAGTGAAATGTATCTGTTGTAAAAGCATTATGACTTCAATTATATTATAGTAGTTACATATCAAAAATATCATGCAATCACTTTTTTTTTTGGTTTTTCGAGACAGGGTTTCTCTGTGTAGCTTTGCACCTTTCCTGGATCTTGCTCTGTAGACCAGGCTGGCCTCGAACTCACAGAGATCCTCCTGTCTCTGCCTCCCAAGTGTTGGGATTAAAGGTGTGCGCCACCACCACCCGGCCATGTAATCACTTCTTAAGAGTGGTAACTATTTCTTTTTTATCTTTATCTTATTTTCCAGAAACATAGCTTTTACTTTCATAAGTCCACATTTTTTAGAAATAAAACTATGAATTTGAATTTATAAGACCCTCCCCCCATCAATTTCTTCTCATTCTACCCTAATCAAGCATATGGTGAGTATTAAAAATCAAAATTAATCTGGTTACCAGGGTAGGCCAGTTCTGGCACCCTCTCCACTATTGCTGGAAGTCTACTCTGGTGTCATCCTTGTGGGTTCCTGGGAATTTCCCTAGCACCAGGTTTCTTCCTTACCCCATAATGTCTCCCTCTATCAAGCAGCTGGGTCTATTTGAGCGGCCCCCAGCAGTGGGATCAGGATCTATCCCTGTTGCATGAGCTGGCTTTCTGGAGCCTATTACCTATGGTGGGACACCTTGCTCACCCTTGATGTAGGAGGGAGGGACTTGGTCTTACCTCAACTGAATGTGCCAGGCTTTGCTGTTCCCCCATGAAGGACTTATCCTTTTGGAGGAGGAGATAGGGAGTGGGTCAGAGGGGAAGATGGAATGGGGGGAGGGGGTGGGGGAAGCAGGAGGAGGGATGAGAGGGGGATCTATGGTTGGTATATAAAATGAATTTTTAAAATTTTTAATAAAAAAATCAAAATTAAAATTTATAAACCAATCCAATAAACTATGTGGAAAAATATATGCATGTGTGTGTATTTTTCTATTAATTCATAACCTAAATTCTCCAAAGCACTATGTATGCATAATCTGTTCCATTTCTAATTCCTTATGTAAGTTCTGAACAGACTCTAAGATCAACAAGTTCTCAAACTTACTCTCTACTTTTCAAAAAAGACAAATGAAATTTTTATTTGTTTGACACTTAAAGCTGTGGGATGTCCTTCTGTATGCTGTGAATATGTGTTGCTCTGATTGGTTGATAAATAAAGCTGCATTGGCCTATTGTTGGGCAGGATGGAGCCAGGTAGGAAAATCCAAGAGAGATAATGAGAGGAGAAAGAAGAGTAAGGGGAGACACTAAACTGCTGTCCAAGGAGCAACATGTAATGGGATGCAGGTAAAGCCACGGAATACACAGTGATACATAGATTAATAGTTATGGGGTGAGTTAAGCTGTAAGAGCTAGCTAGCAAGAAGCTTGAGCCAATAGGCTATCAAATTTGAAATTAATATTAAGCCTCTGAGTGATTGTTTTATAAGCGGCTGTGGGACCACAGGGCAGGGTGGGACTGGAGAAACTTCCAGCTACAATTTATTATTTTTATGTGATGAAGTTCAGTCTTTTTAGTCCCCCTCCCAACCTCCTGCTGCTCCAGCAGAAGCATTCCACCCACCAAGTCTCCCACCCTCTTTCTTGTCTTCCTTTTAGGTGTGAACCACTGAACTTATTGGAATTTCTTGCCCCATGTGAGGGTGGGAGGTTATTTACTGGAGCAAGGAGAATGTGTCACTGGCTAAACCTCTGGAAAAAGTTATATTCCCCCAACAGTCAAGTAACAGACAATGGTCCCTCTGGGGAGAATGGGGTCTCACAGGTTAATTTTAGCTGTGTAAGTTGTTCTTCTAGCTTTAGTATCTGTTGAAATGTACAGTTTCTGTGATATCCAAGCGTGGAGCAAGTTGGGAGAATAGACAAAAGGAAAATGCAAGTAAGTGCATGTTCATTGATTTTTGTCCATTTAAAAACTAGCAAAGCTTTGTTTGTTTCTGCCATGTTTAAATGTTTAGTCCATTTGTTCACACACGTTAACATGACATATACTTGCTAACTCAACAGAAAATAGGTTCTGGAGGGATGGCTCAGTGGTTAAGAGCACTAGCTACTCTTAGGGAGTACCTAGATTCAATTCTCAATGCCCATGTAATGACCTACAATCATCTGTAACTCCAGTTCCAGGGTGATATGGTGCCCCCTTCTGGTTTCTATGGGCACTACACCCATATGGGACACATAAAATGTAGGCAAATAAATGCACATAAAATACATGTTTCTAAAAATACTCTTAAAACAATAAACCTAATCTATTTTAATAAAGCTAATTCAGAAATCAAACATACTCTTTCCCTGTGAGTCCTTAGTCATTTTCTCCCACTTTTAAAAGAAGACATTCTTGTCTTTGTTCATCCAAAATCTCACTTTGATACACTCTCTTAAAACATAAACTTTCATGGGGCCAACCCAAGGAACAGTCTGTAACACTGGTATGTGGGAAGTCTACTCAGAGCAAAGCAACAGACTGGTGTTTGCCCTTTATTTCAGTTGTTTCCACCCAGGGCTAATCATGAAGATAACAATGGGATAATACGGGCTATACTAGACATTTCAAAGCTCAGTACATTGTGAAAAAAGATAGCAAAGACAACTTTCCATCGCTCCACCTTGGCCCTGGCCAACTGACAATGTCCCTAAGCAGTCTTGTGAAAGAGTGACTCAGAGACAAAATATTGAATCTGAAGACAAAAAGCACATGGATACTCAAACCTGGCTTGTTAATTAGAGTCACTTCTAAGAATCAGAATTGGATGCAGAGTTTCTGGAAAACATCAACTTTTGCTCCTAGAATTTTAAACTAAAATTGAAAAATCAAACCTTTGGGGTTAAACATGAAAGTTAAGTCAGCATTGGTAGATTTTTTTATACTAATGGAAGCCTAAATTTTCCCTTCAGGTTATAAATTAAACTTTAGTTAAATTTATAATTCAAAGTTTTGGTGGTGATACAAAAAAATCTTATAAGGTAAAAACAGTGTTTGATAAAGTTTTTAGATGCCATGAAAACAAATGAGACAGGGGCTGCCATATTAAGACAGAGAAACTGCATAGAGAACAACAGGGCAACAGGTGTGTCTTCCCTTTTATGTGGTAATCAAGATTTATTATATATACATATAATGTGCATAATATATACACATATATGCATATATAGTGTACACATATGAGATGAAGCTAGAAGGAGCATTATCTGGATTAAAAAGGAAACTAGTGGTGATAAGTGACAGTAATGAAGGGTGCATGTGATCAAAACACATGATGCATATTAAATGTTATAGTAAAATCCATGACTTTATACAGTGTCCTTATGGTAATAAAAATATGTGTGAAGGTATAAAAAAAGATGTGTGTTGAAGGCACAGCATTGTGGTATTCGTACATCACAGAACTGAGGACACAAAGGCAGGATTGTGAGTTCCAGCCCAGTTTGGTCAACTTAGCAAGAGCCTAACAAGAGAGATAGATGACTGATAGATAGATAGATAGATAGATGATAGATAGATAGATAGATAGATAGATAGATAGATGATAGATAGATAGATAGATAGATAGATAGATAGATACATAGATACATAGATACATAGATACATAGATACATAGTTACATAGATACATAGATAGATACATGGATAGATAGATGATAGATAGATAGATAGATAGATAGATGATAGATAGATAGATAGATAGATAGATAGATAGATAGATAGATAGATAGACAGATCAATATGTAGTGCCATAAATGAATCAGTATAAATACTATTTTTGACCTATGATTTCTGAATATGTTGTAAACAAGATGCCTCTGCATGAAAAAGGGACAGAAATAACTCTTCTTGAAAATAACACTCACTAGTGACTGGGTTAAATCTTCTGAAAGTCAGGTGACATTGAATTCTTGACATTGGATGAAGTCAAAGGAAACCCTCATAATAAAATTGACAGTTCAAATATAATTTTAATAATACACCACATTACATGATTTGTGACCTACAACTGAAAGTTAACTTAAAATAATGTAGAAAAACTTACATTCCTGTGAAAATATTTATCCTTACACACACAAAGAAGTGTGTGCCACTCTCACTCTTCAAGCAAGAAACAATTTTTCTCTCAATGATCCACAACTAGTTAAGAAGAGACTAAGTGATCATGGGGTGCTCAGCACCAATACTCCTCTTGTAAGGTGTTATGGAATACTACTTTAACTATGTGAAGACATTTGTTACATTTGTTTATGCTGCCTTTGTTACCAATGTAAGATGTGCTACATTTTTTTAAACATTTGTTTAACAATGTAAGGATGTGTGTTTAATAAGGTAAAGATGTGTTGCATTTTGTTCACCTTGCCTGCCTAAGGTACCTGATTGGTCTAATAAAAAACTGAATGGCCAATAGCTAGTCAGGAGATGAATAGGCAGGCCAGTGGGCAGAGAGAATAAGTAGGAGGAGAAATCTAGGCTCTAGAGAAGAAGGAACAAGAGAAAGACAGGGACATGCCCAGGGCCAGAAGCCAGGCAGTTCCTAGCCAGACATGGAGAGAGCAGGAAAATAAGATATACAGAAAAAAAGAAACAGAAAGAGAGAGAGAGAGGTAAAACGTAGATAAAGAGAAAGAGATTAACATAATATTAACATCCTAAGGCCAAGTATTAAAAACTAATAAGAAGTCCCTGTGTCTTGATTTGGGAGCTGGTTGGTGGCCCAAAAGAAAAAGCCTACTACACTAAGGCTTAGGGAACATAATGGAAGAGGAGCCAGAAATATTCTAAGAGCCACAGGATAACATGACTACTGCACTCATGACCTGCATAATGACACCAGTCATCATGTCAGTGTGGATGGAGGATATTTTACGAGGTTCTAGATAAAGAACTACAGGGAATTAGTGGCTACTAAGAGAGGAAAGTCAGTCTTTCCTGGGAATGAGCCCTCTGATAGGTCACCTGATCCCAAGTTGTCATCTTAAATATATGTATATAAGAGCAACGCTGAAACATTAAATGGGCTCCGTTAGTTGTGTGTGTGTGTATTTACAAATGTGTAACAATAACAACTATATAAGAAGTTGTGAACTTGAAGGGAAGTGGGGAGAAAATGAAAAATTGGAGGGGAAGATGGAAGGATGGAAATGAGGTAGATATAGTACTCATACATGAGATTCTCAAAAAAAATGAAAATTAAATTAAAAAATAAAAGAAATTAGTATAGCTGGAGAGTTTTCTCTCCAGGTCCCACCAAACCCCAGCAGTCCCTTAGCCCACTTATAAAATAAACATACAGACGCTTATATTATTTAAACTGCTTTGCCACTAGCTCAGGCAATTACTCTTATATTCAGCCCATTTCTATTAATCTATACTTTGCCACATGGCTCGTGGCTTACTGGTACCTTACATCTTCCTTGTCCTGGTGGTGGCTGCAGGCAGTCTCTCCCTTCCCTTCCTGTTCCCTCAATTCTCCTCTCTGTTAGTCCCACCTATACTTCCTGTCTGACTATTGGCCAATCAGTGATTTATTTATTAACACATTTGCCATACAGAACATCCCACAGGAAATTAGTGTAAAACTTTTTATTTCAGTAACATAATATGCATGTAACTATGAATATCGCTTTTTAAATTAAATTTTAAGAATACCTTTAAACGTTTAACAGTTGTTTACAATTTTATATTTGTGTATTTAAACACTTGTATACAAAAGTAATAATTGAAACGTCAATTCAGTTTTGACAAAAGTGTTGACATTTTAGCCTTATAGTTATAAGAAATGTATATCAGCATATTTACAAATTATTGCATTTAATAATAAATGATCAAAACAAAGTATCCAAAGAAAAATTTCCAATTACTCTGTCTCTAATAGGTTAACCCCTGTAAAGGAATGCCAGGCCTGTATGAAACCACACAGTAAAGTTCTCATCCATTAAGAAAGTTCTTCACCTTTTAATGGGTTCTGGCAGCTTTCATGTCACTGTGGTATTCAGATTCCACTGGACGCTTTTAAAAGAGTGGTGTGATTCTACAGCAGCAATAATTACTATAAAATGGAAGTTTAGAGCAAATTTTGATGCAATAATTACTATAAAATGGAAGTTTAGAGCAAATTTTGATGCTAAAAGGACTTTAGGCGGCAGCTTACTACTGTGGAAGGGTTTACACAGACCACACACCAAAGACGGGACAACCACTCCAAGACTTTCTGAATAAACAGAAGGGCGTCACCTACAGAAGAGATCTAACCAGATCCTCCATTTAGACCAAGTCTTCACAGAGTTACAGGAGAAGTAAATAACATTTCCATTTGTGACCACAAGTTGGATACAGCAAAGATCAGAAAGTTTCAAGCCCAATTTCAGATAAAAGTGGAAGAAAGAGGTGTCCCTCCTAAGTGCTAACGGGAAGTGGCTTAGTGACTGACAGTTAGTGAGGTTCACATGCTTCATGAACTGCCTAGACAAACGCCATCAGCAGAATCCAGTAAACACTGTCCCTTAGCTAATATCCTCCAGTGATGACATAGTAAATGCAGCTAAGTTATCCAAAAAGCCTAAGTCATCTGAGGCCACACTTAAGCCAGGGCACACAGAGTACCCACAATGCAGTCAAGGTATTCAAGCATTGATTGGTTTGATAGTAATGATAAAGGCAGAAGACAGGTTCTCCCTGACCCACCTCATCTGCACGGCATGAACATATCTTCTCCAGTGACTGAGATCAAATTAAAAAAATCTAAACTGAACACCTTGAATAGCCTTTGAAATACATACCCCTGTGAATATGCATGTGGATGAAAACGTAGAGTATCATGTACACACATAACAAAACTTCTTCACGTGTCTCCCAATCATGAGTGTCCATTCTCCACCTCCGGTGGACTCTCTCATGACTTCCAGGTCACTTTTACCAGTCTTTTAAGCTTCATAAGACAGAACTATACACATTTTTCCTTTTGAAAAGAAAAATAGAGGTGAAAGTCTGTGAATGTATATCAGAACACACATGCAGACACATCTAAGGATTGGGGAGTTATATTAATCTTAAATTTTATTTACTTACTGAGATATTTCAAAATTAAGTTTTAAATAGGCTAAAATAAAATCTTACACAATTAGTGATGAAGAAAAAATTTACATACACTTCCTCAAAGAAACCCGAAAGTTCATGGGTTTGGTCAATTCATGAGCAGGTAGCTCTAAAGGACAAAATGCATTTTGCTATTTGGGGCCTTACTCCCTTTCTTCCCTCCTCCCTCCCTCTCTCTCCCCTCTCTCCTTCCCTCCCTCCTCCCTCCTTCCATCCCCCTCTCTCGTTCCCTCCCTCCTCCCTCCTTCCCTCTCCTCCTCTCCTTCCCTCCCTCCTCCCTCTTTCCATTCCCCTCTGTCCTTCCCTCCCCCTCTCTCCTTACCTCCCTCCTCCCTCCTTCCCTCCCCCTCTCTCCTT